AAAAATCTTTCAAAGCTTCGCCCATTCACTTGAATGGGGTGACGTAGAAGATTTGTAATCTTCGCCGAACTGCATTGTGTATGCAGATACCGGAGGTCTTTTCCATATGTCATAAAATGGAGGATAAATTAATCATCGCTGTAGGAAATGTCCCGGTCCTTTACGACTGCTCTCTGTTCACCTACCGGGACCTAAACCGGAGGAACCAGGCATGGAGGGAGGTGGCAGAGACAGTTTTTCATTTCATTTCATTTCAAACCTTTATTTAGACAGATAGGTCCCTTGAGATCACGGATCTCTTTTACAAGGGAGACCTGCATCAATTTAGTTCCACATGAAACATAAAAACAACATAAAAACAAACAATAGAGGACATCATATTTACCAACACTTACAAACACCCATAGTGTCAGAAAGCATCTCGTGCAGACGTGCCTTAAAAACATTCAGAGAAATAAAATTGCTCAAATTCAATTTGGACTGTAGGCTGTTCCAAGCAAGTGGAGCTGCGCACATAAAAGCTGTCTTACCTAAAACAGTCCTTACCCTTGGTACATCTAACAAGACTACATCCTGCGATCTCAGACAATAGCTGCTTGCAACTTTCTGCTTTACCAGAGAACAGATGTAATACGGGAGTTTGCCCAACATAGCTTTATAAATAAAAGTGTACCAGTGACTGAGCCTCCGTACAGAGAGTGATGTGTAAGCGCTTTACAATTTGTGACAAATCTCAGAGCACTGTGATACGCAGCATCCAATTTGCTCAGGTAATTGGCAGGTGCATTCATGTACAACAAATCACCATAGTCCAGCACAGGTAAAAAGGTGACAGTGACTAGCCTTTTCCTGGCCTCAAGCGAGAAACAGGACTTGTTTCTGAAAAAGAACCCTAGCCTAACCCTTAGTTTTTTAAGCAGGTTATTGACATGAAGTTTAAAAGTGAGACAATCATCAAGCCAGATACCAAGGTATTTGTAACAGGCAACAACTTCAAGTTTTGTTCCTTGCGTAGTTACAATATCTAGCTTTTGAAAAGAGCATTACCTTGGTTTTATCCACATTTAAAAGAAGCTTTAATTCAGAGAGCTGAGTCTGAATAGTGTTAAAAACAGCCTGTAATTTAACAACAGCCTCTTTAATGGAGGGACCTGCACAATACATCACAGTATCATCTGCATAAAAATGTAAAGTAGCTTCATCCACATTATCACCTACGCTGTTAATATATATGGAGAATAAAAGTGGACCTAAAACAGAACCTTGGGGAACACCATTAGAAATGTTTAACCACTCAGAAGACAGTCCATCAAAGTGAACACATTGGGACCTTTCAGAGAGGTAGTTTACAAGTTGGTGAAACTGGTAGGTTTTCACCTGTTTGGGGAGTTTATATCCAATTTACTTCGTTTTAACATTGAATGGACAGCTAGTAATGTAGCATAACATATAATATATATATTAATATAATAATAATATATAATAATATATATAATATAATTAGGTGTATGCCTGGGGCGGGTGGGAGATTCCTGGGAGATTCCTGATTGGTTGTTGGTCGCCTTGGGCGTGTGAAATCGCCAAGCTTCAGACACGCCCAGCATCAAGATTTTTCAAGATTTTTTCATGCCTGTGTGTGGACGGGCCGCGTCTATCGTTATTCCAACCCAGTTTAGATTTTGCTTCCGCAAGAACGTAGCTCTACGCGATAGCGTCATAGCCTTCTTCTTCGGCTGTTATAGCAACCTGGCGTTACATCTCTATGGGCGGCAAATATGAATCTGACAAGCGAAATACCGTCCTTTTAAACGCCCATAATTATAATTATAATTATACAATATAATAGTGCAATATAATAGTGCTTCTTTGTCAATATGACTGACGACCACACTTATGCAGTGCTGAGGTAATGTTAATGCTGATAAGATAAGATATTTAAAACGTCTTTTGTTTGTCCTGAAAACGACATTTGAGAATACACACAGGCTATTTATAGATGATAAAACACCAGTAATACAATCTCAGGAATCTTACTTTCAGTCAACAAATCCTTTGGAAAGACAAAAAACAACTATTCATCCTGCTTTACCACGACCGCTATAACAGCCGAAGAATAACAGCCGAAGAAGAAGGCTATGACGCTATCGCGTAGAGCTACGTTCTTGCGTAATGCGGAAGCAAAATCTAAACTGGGTTGGAATAACTATAGACGCGGACGGGCCGTTACTGTGGGGTAAAGTGAGGCACAGATGAGATCTGCCTCAACTCAGAATGCGTCACCCCACAGAAACTGGCTGGAAAGCGGGCCCTAAGTGCATGCCTGTTATCATCTCACTGTAGGTCACAAATGTAATGTTTGTAGATCCCTTTATTACATTTATCCTCGCCATCCATAGTCTCTAAATAACTTATTTCACGTATATGATATTTAGGCTCGCTGGTCTCATCATACAACGGCAATGAAAAAAGCACCAGGGGAGGCAGCCATAACCTCTGCCGCACTGAAGGGGGCGCACGTGAGCCCACAGGTTCTTGTTGCTACTGTTATTCTACGCAGAGACGGTAGACGCAAACAACAAACTAGACTTTTGAAACTAGAGGAAGATAAGGAGGACTTTTACAAAAAAGTAATAGTAACTTGTTGTCCAGAAGGATAGCATGGACTTCATCTTCAAGTCAAGGTAAGACCACAATTGTAATGAAAATGGGATCTTACTAAGAAAGAACAATCCAATATTTAGATTTTGGGTATCCTTTTGTTGAACGGTCTGTTTAAAATGAATCGAAGCATCAGACTAAAAAAGCTTTTGAAAATAACCGAATATTTCGATTAAGGTCAAAATACAATATTTGTAAATCTGACTCTGAAAGAGTCAGTGCCTCACCAGCCATGAACCTCACCGCACGTCACTGCCATGGATGTATAATGAACATTACCCCTCCTGTACCCGGGCCCGGTGACACGATGGAATTAAGAGAGCACAGACCCTCACTTATATAGAGGTCGGAACATGTCATAAGTACAAATAAATAAAAGCATAAATAAATGTAGGAATAAAAACATGAATAAATAAATAAATGAATAAATACAGGAATAAATAAACTACAGTTTTTTCAAGTAGGCCTAGATTCAGTGTGTGTGCTGTGGCTCAGCTGGAAAGCAGTTGACTCACAACCGCAGGATCCCTGGTTCAATGACTGGTCAATGCGTCTTTTGTTATTTATAAAAGCTACAGCTAAATTAGATAATGGAGTTAATAAATGTATTCTTTGATATGGTTTAGCCTTTCTCAGGCTACAACATGGTTAAGTTTATGAATATTATTAAGGTATACAAATCCCTCTTTGCAATGTTTACCAGCCTCCTTAGGCTTTTCAATCACAATCATTAAACTGGAACAAACACAATATTGTTAACATGATATGTGCGCGAAGCCCCCACCTTTTTGTTTTACCAAGTGTGTGTGTGGGGAGATTCCCCTTCGATTCTATTGGCTCTAACGGTCAGAAAGAGATGTCAATCACCAAAATCGACCAATGGGTTCCAGAGAAACGCTAAACCTCTCTAAAAAGGTAACATGTCACTTGTTTTGCATCAATCTTGATACAGGGTACTTATTATATGTTGTACTTTGGATTCCTAAAGCTTTTAGTCTACTAACCCATCATCCAAGGGTAGTTTTCACTGTAAGTACAAAAGAATTTTTGGAGGGACACTATAATTTACAGTTTTTTACTATGTTCAATCTGAATTTTCTTTAAAATAAAAAACATCTATATAGATTCTGACTTTTCTACATCCAACTCACAGGTTTATCATTACTTTGAGAAAAAAGATTATTAATTTAACCCTTTTAGAAGGGAAGATATGGTCATTTGTTCTGGGAATGTCATTTTCGAGTCTGAGACCTGAAAAACAGGCTCAGGGCTAAACTGGTTAACAAACCCAAAATCAACAAATGTCTTTGTATCTCCTTCATTACTTTTTAAAATAGACCCCTGATAATGTAAATCTTTAAAATGACATAAGTGTATTTGTAAGTGTTGGGGAATAATTTGCTTAGGTATTCAACCTTCGACCCAGTTCATCATTTTCTAGTTTAGTGTCTCTTTTCCCATGGCATAGTTCTACGGCCTTGGGTATTGCTGCTATTTCTCTTGGGCTTGGGAGCATTGTTGTTGCCAGCTTATGACCGAGCACAAGCTGACACGAGGTAATTTATTGTTCAGGGACATCTAGAAGCCCTTCTTTTCTCAGGAACGTAGGTTCCCTGGCGCACATTATTTTCGATGGACGACAGCTCTAGTTAGATTCAGGGTCCATATTTGTTTAGTCTCGCTGATGAAGAATGTTGATTATTACACTCTGAACTAGTTAAAACCTGGAACTACAGAAGAGTTCTTCAGAATTGATTGTGGCATCTCAACCGTGTGGTCAACTCGTGGCCCGTGACATGTCTTGTGAATTCTTCGGCCGAAGCTCCAAATAAACCATCAGTGTTTGCCATCAAAGCTCCAGCTCTCCTCGTGTCTCTCTGAGTCCTGACTCCAATTGCTTCAGAAGTTTCCCCCACAGTAAGGGTCTATTTAAAAGTGGATAAATCCACATTTGATGTTCTAGTGCAGTGGTTCCCAGCATGGGGTTTGGGGCCCACAGAGGAGGCGACACCTGGGGTCTGCTAAACAGATGTGTCCCTTATCTTATAAATATGCAAATAAAACTGAGTTGTTAGTAGCAGTAAAATGATGTAAAAATACTTTATTAAATGAATATAATTCCTCCAAAATACTTCCTTAATTAAAAGTATATATAGGCATTAATACTGTGTAAAATCGTATGAGGTAGCTTGAAAATAAAACCTAAGTACCTTTTTGGAAGAGTAAATGTGACTGCAGTTACATTACAGTCTTTGAGGTTTTTCTCCATGATGCCCTCGCTCTGACCCACCCCGGAATTACCTGTTTATACATCAATCGGAAATAAATCGACAGGCACAAAATAAAGGGAGATCAGTTTTATTTTCAAAAAATGTACTTCAAAATCGCTAAGGTCATGTATAAGGCATTCACAGAAATTCTTACTACTTTTTTTTGGCTTTTGGACATTTAGAGTTTTTGATGCTTTCAGAGACCATTTCCTAAAACATGATAACATCTAAGGCACAGCACTACTCCCACTGAGAGAGAGAGAGAGAGAGAGAGAGAGAGAGAGAGAGAAAAAAAACACATCAGACAAAAATGGCACTTGCGTTAAAAAGGGTTGTACTGTAAATAAAAGAAATAAACTGAATTTAAGTGTGAGAAAAACGTATGAAATAATAATTACAGAATCTGAAAACTATCAACATTTAAAAATTCTTATAAACAGTCACATGACTTCTGTGGCACCATCATCATCTTAACTTAGAAACTGTACACCGTCAGAGTATTTTACAAAATACTGAATTACATCGACTCACTCGTTATATGAAAGTACATATCGGACATAAAATGGCTCTTAATATTCAAATTAACATTGTGCAGCAAAGAAAAGAAAATGTCTTTTTAGGACTTTCTCTGAGACTGACATGATGCAAAAATGAAGCATAAAGGCAAAATTATTGTATGTGTGTGTTAATTAATAAATAATGTTTACATTTTACAAAAAAATAATTCTGAAAACTCTGTCCATAAGAAATTTATTTAAAACCGAAGATTTTGTGTGAATCGAATGATGCGACATTTAAACCAAATGACTGTTGGATTAACTAAAAACATGTTTACTAAATAAAATAGTCATATGTTTTCTACCTGGTTATGGTTTTTTCACGTCTTTGTGGTGAACATCTCCTTTAGACCTATATACCCCTCATGCTACATTTCAAAATAAGAGCCCGCTTTATTTTACAGCTTTTGTCCCAGAACCGAAATAAATACAGATTTAATTCAGCAATAGGGTTTTTCATGAATAAATCTTAGTATTTTGTTGACACAAAACCATAAAGAACTATTTCAAAGTTAGGCTACCGTCTTGAATGTTAAGCAAAATACTGTTTTTATTTAGTAATTTCAGTTATTTATTGGTGCTCTTGCCCTCATTCTCGCATATTATCTTTCCTAATAATCTCCCTTACAGGTGAACCTATTTTTTTTATATTATGCTTTTTACATAATAAAAGTAAAGGATTCACAACAAGGGAAATGTCCTCCGTCTATTTCAGAAATCCAAAGGTTAAAAACATAACCAGATCGTACCTGTTGCTGTCATTTGAACCCTTAATCTAGTGGCAGTAAATGTCTGATATATTTAACAGAAGATGGCTCTTTCAGGGCTACACCCACCAACACTGTGCTGAAACATAACATCTGGTAACATCTGCACCAGGCGTCCATTTCAAATAATAATTTATATATAATAGTCACAATCCTTTTTGTGACCATTATATGCTATACGTAAAGTGCTGACTGTCACAGAACAACAATCATTCTCAGCTTCACTCTCATGGTTAAAACAAAACAAAAACACTCCTCCCCAGTTTTGGTCCCAATAATAGTCACATGGCAACTACTAGTACACACATTGAAATGATTTATCAAAAAATAGTAAATATCAGTTTTTATAGTATCAAACAAAAGATGGATTGCACCAGCGAGGATCAAGCTTTGTTAGTTGTTATTTGGTAACACAAGTAACATATGTAGGGTGGGGTTGAAAAGTAATATTTGGACATTTTCAGGAGAACATTTATTCCCTTTCTTGCTGTAAATTAACAAAAAAATATGATCATCTTATCATAAAGACTGAAAGCAGGTGGGAAAGGCTAGCCTGGCTCATCTAAAGCTGAATTATTTTTTAAACGTAGTTTGTGTAATCCATAAAAAAACTGAAGATTAATAAATAAAATCTTATGTAGCTACAATTCCAAACTCTATCGAATGAGACTGAACTGACATTTAATCCAGTTAACCAACCTTTCAGATTTGTTTTCACTAACAGTATTGTTTATGTTCAGTGTCTCTGACTAAAACTGAAAATATTAGCCAAGTCTTTAAAAAACCGTTACTAAAGCTGTTGTTTACATAAGCCTCTTATGCGTCACTGCTCTTAAAAGCCACACAGTGTAACCTTCATCCTAACTGGTGCAACCCTATGAATATTTAACGTCTTGGCACAATGTCCATCACAGAGCAGCATGGAAATCTAAAGGTGCAAAACCTGTGTTGGTGGTCTCCTCTCCCCCGCACTACACTCAAACTCAACTCTCAGCGAAATACTTTATGCATGGGTATATCTTTTTTTTTAGTATGGAAGGAACCAAAAATGTTTCGAGAATTAGCTTTTGCCCATTAACTTTCCAGAGTACTGCAATCTGATATTCTGAATACAGGAATATTAATTGTGGAACAAATCTCTTCTTATCACATTCAATTATCAATTTATCTAACTTATTTTATATGTACCTTTTTGGCTCTGTGTTCAGACATATATTCCCTTCCAAGGCTTAACTTGTGCTCTGTTTACTGCTGATAGGTATATCATTACATGTTTTCCATCCAATCATTTCATTATAACTGATACCATTTGTTTTTTTTGAGACCAATTATACAAAATGTTGTAACCGTTAGACACCGCACAACCAAGGCAAATGTTTTTGTCAAAGCAAATTCCAGCATATGAAATATTAGCCACTGACTTAAAACGTGTGTAAAGTCCAATAAAATACGCTGACTGAAGGATTCAGACAGTTCTTTGTTTTGAACACTTTTGAATTAAATGGTCATTTTGGCACCAAATAAATAATACAAAATAAATATGACATATTTCTATTGCTTGCTCATTTTTTCCTGTTTCTTCCAGCTAGAGGTGTGCTGTACGTCATCTTGAGACAGGAAAGTTATAATTCCACCGCTTGGCCAAGATACAAATGAGCTCAAAGCCAGGCGCTCTTCCAGGGGGCTCGGGACCTTCATGGACACAGAAAGTATGAATTGGTCTACAAGGACCAACTGTTTTATATTTCAGCATCTGAACATGTAACACCTGCCTACCTTCCCCCAGGGAAACGCTCACATCAGGAGGTATAGAGTTCTTCTGACACACCGCGTCCACACACACTTATTCACACCCACACACTCGCACACAGCATGATGTCCCAAGCAACAATGAGAGCAGCAGACTGACTGAGGACTGAAGGAGATGTTTCCTCTCTTCTACCCGTCGCTGCCTCCAGAGTTTCATTAATCCCTTTCACTGTAACGTTACACACACTTTTAAATAAATAAATATCAGACAGGACGTGTGTCTTCCTTCATGTGTTCCTTGTGTCCTCCCTCAGTCCGTACGTCTGCTACCTGATCCTCCCGTCCTCTCTGGGGGGGCTGAGCTCAGACTTTGGGTCGGGGCTGGCGGAGCTCCAGGGGGTGAGCTTGCAGCGCTGCATGATGGGACACACGCTGGGGCCCATGGAACAGACGTCCGCGGCCGACCAGTGGCCCTCCAGCAGGCGGTCCAGCCAGCGACGCAGCGGCGCCCCCGTCAGGCCGGCGTTGGCCTCCGCCTCCTCCACTGCCCCCAGACTCACCGGCAGCCGCAGCACGGGGTTCAGGCCGTGGAAGCTCTGCTCCATGTAGGAGTTCTTGGGCGGGCCGCTGTGCAGCCGCAGGGTGTCCTCTGGACCCCCGGAGGAGAGGGGGGAGGAGAGGGGAGGAGGGGAGAGGAGAGAAGAGTGGTGAAAAAGGTGGGCACACTCTGCACTAGAAAAACCTTTTAATGATGCACACGCTTTTTGACATCCTGCTGGATCCAACATTATCACTTTCATTTGTTTGGTAATGTTGTTATGTTGCTATACCAGAGGTTTGTAACAGTTTTTCGCCATCAATTGTAGGGTTTCTCTGGGAGTCTAATGCGAGTGTCGAAGGACAGAGGGAGACCATTTTGTATTATGTGATATTGGGCTACATACATTTTTTTGACATTGAAAGTCGATTGATTGACCACAAAAAAATTGTAAATTACATTATTGATTCTTTTCTTAAAGGGGCCCTATTATACAAATGTTCAGATTAATTTTGGTATTTTGTGCCTCTACTGTGACGTGTTTGCATGCTTCAAAGAGGCCCTATTATGCTTTTTGGGGTTTTCCCTTTCCTTTTGTGTGTTGTATATATGTTTTGTGCATGTTAATGTTCAGCAAAGGCTAAAATCCCAAAGTTCAAAATTCCCCCTCTGTCTGAAACCAGAGCCCAGTCTACTCTGATTGGTTAGGTGGTAGGTTCTGCTGAGATTGGTCAACCACTTAAAGATGTCCCACCCTTTAGCCTATGATGTACAATGTATTGGAGCAGAAGCCAATAGAAGCGCGAGTGTTACATAGTGATGTCATTATGTTAAGGAAGTAAAAAAAGACAGTCCAGAAGTGAACATGTTATATTTTAACACACAGGCACCCGATGTCACACACACACTCTGATCAGATCACGTCACACTCCATCTTCCCTTTATGACAGCAGCCAATAAAACATCACCATCTATTCATATCCCAGGCTTTACTTAGTTATCTCCAAACACACATACACACAATACACACACACCACACACACACACACACACACACACACACACACACACACACACACACACACACACACACACACACACACACACACACACACACACACACACACACACACACACACACACACACACACACACACACACACACACACACACACACACGAGGAGGTTCAGCGGGAAGCTAATTTGGGATAGAGGTGACCGTGTGTGCGTGACTGGATACTGACACTATAAATATGTGTGTGTGGTGTTGACAGCTGTGACAGGAAGGGCCTCTGCTCTGTGTTTGTAATTTAAGTATTAGCTTTTGACATAAAGACTACAGTGACCCCTGTGCTGCTCTTAAATATAACAGGTGTATTCAAGGGGGTTCTGCAGGATTATAGCCAAGCATTGTGCCAAATTAGTGATATTTTACTGACTAGCAGAATAGTAGTACTAGGTCACTCCACAAAACGATGCTTATAGACAATACAAGTTACTGGACCATGTAATAAGGACTTTTTTAACGTCTGAAAATGTGCTATACAATGGTATATATACTGTAATTAGGGATGCACCAATACAAATATTTACTTGAAAATATATTCAACAACCTAAAGTTCCTAAACCATAGCAAGACAGTACATGAATAATCAGAAACAATGCTGAAAGAAATCGAAAAATGTATGAATAAAATACATTTATTAGCACCTATCCTCTTAAATCTACCTCAACGTTATTTCACCAAAAGGTTATTGCAACATGTTTAAGGCATGTTGACAAAAGAGCTAATTAACAATTAATTGAATATGTATTCAATAATTTAAGTCCTGCAAATAAAGTCAGTCTGCCTTTCATTTTTTACAGTATATTTGATCCTAACTGTCCTACATGATTTACACAGCCTAATATCAGAAATTACAAATTTGTTTCAGGGGGCTTTACAGATTGTACAGCATACAACAAACTCTGCCCAGACCCTTGCAGCACAAAAGGAACAACTGCAAAAAACACTTAAGACTTAACTGGGAAATATCACAGGGAGAGTAGGAGTGGTGCTGCACCTCCAAATTCATGTTTTTCAGGCAGTAACGGCTGTGCCCAGATTCACTTTTTGAACGCAGCAGCCCCGCACCACTTGCCATGTGACGAGGAGCAACCAATCACAGCTGGCCGACATCTTTACATTTGTAACAGTCAGTCTTCGGTAAATATTAAGAAGAAGTAGATTATTTTTGTGCGGGCTATTGTTACCCTGAGGTTAAAGACGGCTGATCAGGGCTGCTGAAAGTCTACACATCTTCCACTGTAGACCTGTTATGTCTGCACCTTAGCTATTCAAATCTATCTAAAAATATCATAGTACTTGACATGGTTTGGCTTATGTACGTTTCTTGCTGTTCTAAGTTTGTATCTTCTTGGTTGATCACTTTTAATTGAGTTAGTATTAAAGCATCAGCTAGATGTCATGATTTAATGTGTAGATGCATTTAGGGTGTCTCCCCCCCTCACCTTGCTGTATGGGCTGCTGCCGGTGGAACTCGAGCGGGGCCATGATGAAGCTGGTCTGGCCCAGCAGGTTCCAGTGGTGCAGCACCCTGAGGGTCCACAGGCCGGGCCTCAGCGGGGGGCTGAGGGGCGGCCGGTAGTGCGTGACCTCGGCGGAGGCGTCCACCAGGATGTCGTAGGTGGCGGCGATGACGTTGGTGGGGTCGATCCACACCACGGTGGCCGTCAGGTTGCTCTGGCTGCGGCTCCAGCGCTGCACGGCAACCGGCTCGTCCCTGGGGCCCAGCAGACCCCCCCAGTTCCTGAAGATACGCTCCTTAGGGTCCCAGTCCGCCCCCACCTGGAGAACAGGGAGAGGGTCATGGAAGTGTTTAGGTCCCTGAGAACGTCAACAAGCTAGTTTTCTGGCTGTGTTAATAAACGACTTTCTATTTTCTCAGAACTTCTACATACATAATATCACCTACTGGTCATAACAATGTACTGTGTGTGTGCTGACCTGGACGTGCTGCAGCCTGTTGTTGGGTTGGGGGGGGCTGGCGGGGGTGTAGTGGTCTTTGGAGGTCACCCAGGTCTCCAGGCTCTCCAGCTGGGCGGAGGCTCGGTTGGTGGCCACGTGGCGCAGCAGGTAGCCCTGGAACTTGTCTGACAGGAAGTAGAGGTGGACGGATACGGGGTGGCTCGTGGACATGAACCTGAGAGAGGAAAACACACTGTACTGAGAACATGCTGCAATGAAGCGGACACATTTAAAAACATCTTTGCAAAGTTACATTTCTATCTTTGTCTTTTTAAAGACAAACAATATTTTTTTTACTTTTAGTGACACACTAAACTAGCATTATTTTATTGAATATTTTTGTTCTATTTTATGATATACTATACTATAATGTGTATGACATCTTTATGAAATCCTCAATTTTCTTTAGTTTTAATGGATTTTTTTCCTTTTACGACAATATAATGACATGTTTTATGGCATGCTATACTTGATACTCTTACTGTGACACATTTTACTAGGACTGTTTTACATTATATTTTATGACTTTTTTTAATGACATATCATAGCCTAATATGGCATATTTTATAACATCCTTTTCCAGGGGTTTTCAAAATGTTGATGACTAAGGAGAGTGCACACACAAAACTGAATATGAAATAGACAACAGATTGTTAAAATATAATGTATGCATTTTATATCATGTTCAGGGGCCACAAGAAATGTTATTGTCCTTTGAGAAACTAGGAGTTTTATTCTTGTCATGTCCCTCTGTTCAGAAGACTTAATCAGTGTAAAACACAGGTTCAAAAGAACTCTTGAATTCAGAGCCCAGTAAACACCTGGACCTTAGTCAGCAGTTTTAAACTGGATACAAACCCATCATGGAAACCCACTTGTAGCATGTGATCAGCTGTACAGAAACATGAGATTAGTCAGAATGGAGCAAAAGCATGAACAGACTGCTTGTTAAATTCCAACAGCTTAGCAGTGGGTTCCTAGTAGAGCTCCGTTTTGGATATGGATGGAAGCATGTTTAAATATATCCACACATTAGTGTGTTCGTGTTCTCAGACTGAAATCACAAGTTGGGGGAACAGACAAGTCCTGTTTTACTCCTGCACCCTTGTCCCCCCTTCACATACACTTCCCATAATGCTGCCCCCACCCATCCCCACCCAAACTCCAACAACAACCACCTCCTTGTACCTACTGTGGGTCTCCACCCCTCCACACACACACACACACTCTGCTGGAAAAATCCAGTCTGCAGACACTGTAGCCTGGTTGTATCCCAGGACAAGCTGGAGTTATCTTTATATTTAATTTGGACACACACACACACACACACACACACACACACACACACACACACACACACACACACACACACACACACACACACACACACACACACACCACACACACACACACACACACACACACACACACACACACACACAGGTTTAGTGAGTCTAGTGGAAAGACACATTTCATCTGCCCGTCCTCCTGGATCCCATCAGACAGAGATTCTGCAGTTTCTCTCTGCCTAAATGTACTGAGCCAGCGACTGAATAATCCTGATACACTTATGGTGGCAGAGGACTTCATTGCATTGTATTTATTTGTATGTCCCAAGTATTGTATGTTTCATTGTTGAAGGAGCCTGGGAGTTTTATTGCCTGTCTTTTCGTATAGCCAAAAACAGCTCTACACGACAATAAAGCCATTACATCGTAAAATTTGACTTGAGGTTGTTTTGCCTTTAGTTCACATCAATGAATAAAACCAAGTCAAAAGTGATCCATTGTTGCCTTTTTTCCATGTTAGCAGATTTGCTTTTCCTGTCGCACTGACTAATTACACAACTAAGAGCTCTTAACATGAAGCTTAAAGGACAGCTGGCCAACACTGATTAGATAGCTTAGTTGTATATTGATAACCACCAAATACACACACCGCACACACCATTAATCACCAAAGTTTTGGTCTCAATGTTTGGTTCCCACCAATGTTTGACGGACAGAATGTTAAACCAAACCAAACAATCCAAATCAAACAGGCAAACACAAGACTATTTGAACCAAACAGTCTTATCTGTCTCAAGGGAGCACATGGGAAATCAAACTTCTGCTAACTGACAAGCAAGTAATGCTGCAGGATTTATTTATCACAAATATGATACAATTCAGCAACCCGGCCAAATGTCATGTCATAAAAGTGGCAAATGAGAAAAATAGAGAAAGTAGTTTATCATATCGTTTGTGAAATGTTTGCCCAATGACAATCAAGACAGCAGTAACATCTGTGCTAAAATACAGAGTTAGATTACTGAATCTAGGTGTTTGTCTTTTTGGGACTTGGACCAAAAACCCACTTTTCAGGCTGTTTCGTTCTAGGTGTTTTGTTACATCACAGTTTGTTGGACAACATTATGACCAACCGAATTCAACCAAACAGGTTCAGCATGAAAACATAATGTTTCCAATCTACATTTTAACTCATGGTTCTGATTCAGGGGACCGTTAAAGGAAATCATGTTTTTTTCCCAACAGATGCTGCATTCACTGAATCTCGAGTGTTTGTGTCTTTTCTAATTCCACAACTATAATATTAAGTAAAACCTTGACATACTTACATTTTATTTATAAAAAAGTATTTACACTGTGGTGTGACTACTTTTACCAAAGTAAATTGTATTGTATTGTATTGTATTGTGAGAACTTTATATAATGTGGCTAATACAGTACCAGTCAAACGTTTGGACACACCTTCTCATTCGAAGGTATTTATTTACATCAAAACTATGAAAAGACACATATCATGGAATTATGTAGTAAACAAAAAAGTGTTAAAAAATCCAGAATATTTTAGATTATTCAAAGGAGCCCCCTTTTGCCTTGATGACAACTTTGCACACTCTTGGCTTCTCTCAGTCAGCTTCATGAGGCAGTCTTTCATAGTTTAGATATATTCTGTATTAATCTACAATTAAAAAAATAATTAAAATAAATAAAAACCTTCGAATGAGAAGGTGTGTCCAAACTTTGACTGGTACTGTACATACACATTTCTCTCACAACACAAATAAAAGTAGGTTTAGTTTTTCCTCTCAATAAACCCACATGTGGATGTTTTTACCTGCAGCTGTTGTCATTGGGGTGTCCCTGCAGCAAGCTGGCGGCGCGGGACAGTCCCATACGAGCAAAGGCGTGGTAGTGGCTGAGCGTGGAGTCTGATAGGCTGGCGGGGCCGTCCGTCTCATGCTCATAGATGTTTTCCCAGTAGGCCTGGAGCCCCGGGGTCCCCGAGGGGTGAGATCCAAATAGGTAGGAGTCCAGCTGGTTGATGATCTCCTGGCTCACGCTGGCCTCAAACTTCCTGGCGAAGAAGGTGGGTCTCGACGCTTGCTGTAGTCAAAACATACAAACAAAAATGAAGGATGGTTGGAGTAAGACCAACTTTAAAAAATATATATTTTATTTATTTGATATGCCTCAGATTCATAATTAATTTTTTTATGAAATAAAAGAAATACTGAAAATATTGATATAAACAAAGAGACGTTATGGTAAAAATGTGCACATTGTAATACAATAAATACAATATAAAACAACTATATAAAAACTAAATATGTAATGCAGTATAACATTATAATAATGCATTAATACAAAACATTACACATATAAATACAGTATACTTGGCATTTTCTCATCTTGCAATTCTGACTGATTATTCATCATGGATACATTGTTCTATGAAAATTATTTACCATGTAATTCTTTTATGTTGCCATAAGATAAAGGTAGAAAAAGTGAAATTATTTATTTGATTAATTATTTATTTCTCATTAGATTTGCTGATAAGGATCTAATGAAGTTAGTCCAGAAGCGAAAAGAGGGCCTCAGGGAGGGTGTAGGGGCCAGACTGGAAGCGAGGCACAAACACACACACAATTCATCATGTGGCTGTTTCTCGAGGAGGCAGGGCGGGCTTCATGCTGTCATGACCTCACCCAGCCGGCTCCTGGTGGCCCCGGCAGCAGCGGCGGGCCAGGAAACCCCAACATAATGAGAGCCATGCGGACTGCAGCGAGCGGCAGATTTATCTCAGAGGTTATTCTGGGGCCGTTACCTAACAATCTGTGTCCTTACACAGCTTAGGACAACAGAGGAAACCACTAGTTAAAGGCTTTTTGTTTTCCTTCATCAGAACATCAGAGGGAAACTATATAAAAGTGCCTTTTCTCTATGTGAACGAGGTTAGCCAAATATGACTCAAGCAGCTGCTCGCCTGTAGGAGCAGCTTTATTTAGTACAGAGTACACAGGTTTCACAATTGTGAACATGCCATTGGATTTTACCTTTTACAGCATAGTTTTATCAATTTTTTTTTACAACATGGATTTACAAAACAAACAAATTCACGACAACATGAGATGGAACGTCTTTCATTATCTATTAATCTGCGTATTATTTTCTTGATTGTTTACTTTTTAATGTCTTAATTTGTTGATCCAAACCTCAAATATATTCACTAAAATATGATATAGAACATAAGAGCCGTAAGTCTCCTTATTTGAGAGGCTGAAAACAAAATGTTGTTTTAAAATAAAATATTGTGTGATATTGTCATAATTAGTGCATGAAATGTTAGATCTTTTAACCACAAAATGTGTATAATTTCATCATAGAGTCTTAGTGGACATTTGTGCCAAATTTGAGGAAACTCCTTCCAGGAAGAAACCTAAAACACATTGATTTGGTTAAATGATGGAGAAAAAAGCGAGTGTGTATAGTACTGTACATGTGTGTTCCTGACCCTCACATTCAGGACTCAGCCTTTCTAGCAAGCGAACCCACACATTATAATAATGATAACTTTAAAAACCTCAGCAGCAACTCGCTACAGAGCTCTAAAAATACCAAGAGTCCAGCTGTTTCCAGGACCAGCTCCTCTCATAGAAACCATCCGAAGCCCGGCCACAGAGTCTGTGGTTACAGCGAGCCGAGGGCCGCCGCTCCGAGGCCACTGCTCATTTGTGAATACGGAGCTATTCTGGGCCACAGAGGCCCTGAGAAGGGAGGGCGGGCATAAAGACTATCATCTCTGTAGCAAGGCTGCAACATTATCACAATTAAAACAACACAATCCAAAGAATGAACACCAGGGAAAGCTTTGAGATTAACAAGAAGTTCAAACCACACCTGTCACATTTTTATATCTTGGTAAAAAATATCAAATTAAACACTAGCATTGGAAGAGCCATTGAGAGCTAGAAACCTAGCCCGCCCTTGAGCCACAGGAGGTAGAGTGAACTACTGATCGTTGGGTTGGTGGTTTGATTCCTGGCCGCTGGGGTCAACATGTCTTTTAGCAAATGAATAAACCTCACATCGCTCCCATGGCCAACAGTGAGTGAGTGAGTGAGTGTGTGTGTGAATGTTAGTCTCCCTGAGCAGGTGGCACCTTGTATGGCAGCCTCTGCCTCTGTTCAATATGAATGTGTGTGAATGGCTGAATGAATGCTGATTTGTTGTAAGGCACTTTGAGGGGCCGCACAGACTGGAAATCAATATAAATGCAGTCCATTTACCAAAAGGATAAACAACTGTTTGAATCTTTCATTATATATATTTGAAGTAATCTTGTTTTTTTTTCACATTATATTTACCTCACCTCTGGATATCAGAACTTCCAACTTCGTAGTTTTCCTTTCTAAAAACCAGAATCCACAGTATTTTTCCCTTAAAATAACCCTTAACAGTTAACACACATTGAACTCACCCTCTACCTCATTGCATATACATTTAAATGTAAAAAGTGGCAACTACTTACATAAATAGTTTTCTTTGTTTATATTTCTCTAGTATTAGATAGGCTAAAATAATGTGTTCTAACTTAAAGGTGGGGTAGGTAAGTTTGAGAAACCGGCTCGAGATACACTCTTTGTGATATTCCAGGAATGCTCTTAACATCCCGATAGCATTGAATATCTTAAGTGCTTTGACAAAAAATCCATTAAAATCATCTGTGGAAGCCGTAGTACTGTAAAAAGCACGACCAATCATTTTAGCCAGCTAAAATAACTGGATGGCCTACCTGCCTGTGAGACTTCCATCTGTGCACAAACTTATCTCGTGCCCTCATTGGTCATGTGCGCGTTCGTGTGTGTTGGAGGAGGGGCTCTGTAAGGAAGTGGCACATTTTTTCCGGCTGTGTATTTTCAAATTCTAGCGCACTCGAGCTGGTTTCTCCAAAATGACCTACCCCACCTTTAAGGTTTAGGTTTTGTATATTTTTATTTTGTATTGACTGCCTCATTAACATCAAAATGAGCTTAATTTAGTTTAAAGTCTCACCTGGAAGCGCGGCAGGTCAGAGGTCTTGAAGTTGTTGGGCGAGCAGCCGCACCAGTCCACGATGTGTTTGTACTGACATTTACATCCCAGCTTGCGGTTCCAGTTGGTGAGCCTCAGGTTGTTGTCCACCATCGTCTCACAGTGGGCGCTGTTCTCCAGAACCGTGTGGAAAAACGACTGCAGGGACAGAAAGACACGCACGTTTATTCTCTTCAGTAAAAGTGATTCATCTAATGTACTTTCTTTGATTGATGCAATATGATTTTGATGCGCCAGATATCTGTTTTAAAAATAACATATTTTATATGATTGCATCTTAAAATCTAATTTCTGCCAAATTCTGATATGCATATTTTGTCTGTGACAAATAAAGAGAATAAGGATATTTTTGATCCGATGAATGTTTCAAAAGATTCAATAAATTTGACGTTTGTTAAAAGTTAAAGTAATAGAAAATGTCCATCACAAGACTTCAAACTGTTTTATTTAAGTCAGACAAGACTGCAAAAAATATAAAATAAAAATATTGTCAGATTAATTGATGGTTAAAATAATATGAATAATACAAAAAGTAATAATTAATTACAAGTACAACTATAAAGTAGCATAACAATGGAAATACTCGAGCAAAGTATCAAGTAAAGTACCTAAAAAATGTCACGTTAGTGTGTCTGTGTGTGTGTGTGTGTGTGTGTCTGTGTGTGTTTGTGTGTCACCTCAGCAGGCAGCAGTGTGTAGGCGTAGAAGCTCTTCATGCTGCTGACCAGCTCGTCTCTGGAGTTCACCACGTAGTCCACGAAGGGCCGGTTCAGCAGGAACCAATCAGAGCCTCCGTCCACCGCAATGCCCTCTGGGATCTTACGGTCCCCGAGACGCCACATGTGCGTGTCACACTCGAGGAACAGACGGTCCAGACCCTGCTTACGAATGAATCTGAGAGGAGTGTCCAGAGTTTAGATGATGATACAAACTGACATACTTTAAGAAACTTAACCTGTGTAAGCGGCCATTTTATCTTAATAATATAATGTAAAACTCTTATGATATACATATGATATCTATAAGGTTTGTTAATTGTAACGTCTAAATTAAAACTGTCATTGTTTTATTGAAACTCATGCTGATGCTAAGAGGAAGAACAGAAAGAATAAGCGGAAGTGAAGAGTAATTATTATCTTTTTACAAAAAACAACTACCTCCCGTAAAAAAAATAAGATTCCAATCAGCAGAGATTTTAAAAAGGAACTGTGATGAAGATTGATCTCTCTTTTTCTCACCGTGCGTTGTCTCTGCCGTGAGATTTGATGAAGTTCATGTTGCGGTACTTGGACAGGAACGCCACCAGCAGCTCGTTGGTCCTGAGGGGAGACATCGGCTGTCAATCATCCACTCAAAACGTTTCTTTAGAGAAATGTGATGATATGACAACTATTGGATATATAAATGGTGCCTTAGACATGAATGTTGATGGTGAATTTCCACCTAGCACCATCAGATACCACATGCTTATACTAATGAGAGAGGAAGTATTTAGATCATTTTCTTTAGTAAAAACTACTAATACCAATAAAACCCACTAAAAAGTAAAAGTTATGCATTAAAAAAAAAATCCTTAATAAAAGTATAATGATTTAAATGTTGTATGTAAAAGTATAATAATGTCCCAGGCTTCTGAATTATACTGTATATATACACAGTATAACACCCTTTAATTATTAATACATTCAACTAAAAGCTGGGTTTTACCCTTGTAGGTGGTTGAGGTACAGATTATTCTTTAGCCCAAAAATAAATAAATCCACATTTAACTTAATGAATTAAAATGTTTGAAACATTTTTTTTCTTTTCAACCTTTCATACCGTGAAAAACATCTTATCGTATCATTCTGTGTGTTTGGAGAAGCAAAACAGAATCACGCGATACTTGCTGTGTTTGCAGAAAACAGTGTTTTAAGGGGGATTCTCCTCGTAATGAATACACATGTAAGCAGGATGCTATTAAATATTTGAACGATACGTCTCTTTCTTTTAAACAATGCAACACAATCTTCCATTTAGGGGAATCAGAGTCACTGTGTTTGGGAAAGCTGGGCCTTTTATTTAGTTTCCTCTTCAAACTGTGCGGAGCTGCAGTGTGTGGCCTGATGCAGACACACACACACACACACACACACACACACACACACACACACACACACACACACACACACACACACACACACACACACCCACACACACACACACACACACACACACACACACACACACACACACACACACACACACACACACACACACACACACACACACACACACACACAACGCGGCTAACTTTGATTACAGTCGTTAAGACGCTCCGCAGGCGTGCGTGTGTGTGTTTGTGGGCATGTTTGTGTTCATCGGTATCACACACACATTTAAATCTAACTGAGGCTGCTGCAACGTACGCTCATATATCCAGTGGTGGAATGTAATGAAGTACATTGTACTCAAGTACTGTACTTAAGTACAATGTTGAGGTATGTGTACTTACTTTAGTCATTATAATAAATTCAATTATAATAATGTTATGCTACTTTGTACTTCTACTCTATTTTGACAGCCAATATTGTATTTCAAGTATATTTATTTGCCAGCTTTAGTTACTTTACAGATACTGATTATTACCTAATAAACATTGACATAAGACATCCAGCAGCAGTATACAAAGTCATTCAAACTAGCTCTATTTTTACCAGTCAAAGATGTATTAAAAGATCAATAATCAAAATCCAGTAATTGAATATATATGATTGTGAAATAAGCCATTATGCTAAAACCAAGTGTATTCACCATTCGCACTGCAAGTATATATTTTTTAAAAGTACTAATACCTAACCGTGAAAATACTCCACTACAAGTACAATTCCTGCAGTCAATCGCTTACTCAAAAACACTATGCATCAGAAAAAACCCGCTCAGTATGGATTGGGCAGTAAAACATTTCCTGTCAGGTTTTATATTGTATATGATGTTTCTGGATCAACATTACTGCTGCATTGTGTTGTGTTTTACCGCTGTGGATGTTTTTAAGTACTTTATATCTGTTGGCTAGATTAAACTCAGTCTATAAGATCATCACATGTTTGTAGCTTTGCTGCTGTCCTGTGAGAACCATGTATCTCTGAAAAGTCAACTTTTCATGAATTTATCAGAAAAACTGTTCATTTGTGACGATGCATTTACTAGCTGATGCATCAGGTTTTTTTAAGACTTTATTGATCTACTGTAAGGTAGGAGGAGTATCTTCTCAATGCATACAAGGAACACTTCATCCTTCAGTTTATTACAAGCATTCAGAATGATCTGGAGATGCATGGTGTCACTGGACAGGAAGGAGAAAATTGTAATCAGAAAAAAATATATTAGTTTACTATTTTATACTATATATAAAAATATATTAAAAAACTAAAGATAAAAGATAAATTAAGTGGGGTAAAAAGTACAATATTTACATCTGAGTTGTAGTGGAGGAGCAGTATACTCTTTGTTGACTCTTTATTTCAATTTCATTATTTTTCTTTCTCAATAAGAAACATAAGCTAATACTATGCACATTGTTCAAATCAATGTGATCAGTTATTTGTTTTTCTGTCACATTCTCTGATCATGTGAAGTTTATTATTCTCTTTCATATTTGAAAAAGGATTGTGCGACATACTGTGGCTACAGAAATACAGACACACATTCACACACACTTTCATTGACTCACTTTCCATGGGCTTCAATGACGTCACAGCTATTGATGGTGTGTCCTAATGCTGTGTATGGGCTATGGATTTTAGCTGGAAGGGTGTTCAAACAGTAGCTCTGATGGGAGGGCAGGGAATATATAAGAGGACAAAATATGAAAAACTTAACATTTTGATTAGGCTTCAAAGACATTTTAGTGTTACTCATTTTAAAATACTGGGTTTTTTCGAATTCCTTATTAAAATAATTGCCAATCATTATTTTTCAGTTGACTAATGTTTCAGCTGTTGTTGAACATTTCATTCGTTTTATTAGCAATATTATTTTAACACATTTTTGTCAATTGATTCATTGTTTTGAGCTGTACTTGAAAATGTTTATATATATATACATTTTCAATATCTATTATTTATCTGTATCTATTAATATTATAATATGTATTTTTATCTTTATCTTTATTTTATTAATAGCCTGATATGTATTTATCTTTATTTATTGAACTTTAACCATATATATATTCTGATATTAATATTATTGTTGTCATTATCAATTGTCAAATTACTAACAGTTGCAGCTATTAATTGAAAAATAAAGATATTATTCATTATTTTATTTTATTTCCCCGTTTCCTGGACCTTTATCAGATGAGTAATGAAGGAATAACGCACCAAAATGGGCACAAACTGAATAAAAAGGGGCCAATGGACTGAATCATTTCCCAAAATCGAACCAATGCTGCTTACTGGAACTGATTTCTAAATAATGTTTGCATTAAACAACAGAATTCTAGAACAAATCACGACATCTCCGCAGACTAACACAAGTACGAACTCCACAAATGTCTTTATGGGACTTCCTTACTTCACTGCTCCAGCTTCAGCGAGCTCAATACCTGCACTGATCCCAGCAAAGCTCTCCTCCAACAACACACCCCCATTCAGACCCCTTCAGATCCCAGAGCAGCAGGGCAGCCATTAAAGGGGCTCTGCTTCAAAGCTATAGACTCCACATCCATTCAGAGTCGATGCACTTGAGGGCTATCGGCCGTGTAACCTGATCCATAAGACCTTAAACAAACCAAACACGGCTTTAACAAATCAATGCTCTGCGTGTTTGGATGGGTCTTGACGTGATCGATAAATCCCCCACATTCTTCTGCAGGGATACAACACAGGGAACGGTACGGGGGGAAATCCACCAAACCTCTATGGATCAAGAGTCTAGAGAGCATCTCTTGGTTTAAAAGAGATAGTCAAGATAGTTTGAAGTCGGGTTTCACAAAGTGCTTATACTGTATGGTCATCGTTCACATTTCATTATGTTAAAATAAACATTTTTAAAGACAAGTTGCCATATTTCTAGCTAACCAAGCCCAAAAACTTCCCTTATCAGGTTTTTTTAATGTGATCTTAAAGGTTTTTTTTCAAGAATTTAATAATTAAAAGGAAATAATTTCCAAATAGAAAATTGTTTCGAACACAAAAGGGACCAAAATGATAGTAACATTATGATGTGGTTTTCTACACATTTTGTATTTAAAATTAACTCTAGATTAAGAGCTATATTGGTGTCTTTCCCTAAGTTTTTATCATACAAAATAAATACATATTGTGCAGCAATAGAGGAGAGTATATGAGAACTTCAGTTCCCCTTCAGAAAGGGCGACAGCAAGGTAAAGCGGTGAAAACATTCTAAATATAGCGTACACTTCAACTGATATGTATGTATTAAACACGTCCACAGAAGTACATTGCTTAGCTTTTTGCTGGCAAACCTGTCTGCTCCTCTAGACTGCATTTACTGTTAAAGTATCTTCAAACAATCTAAAGCTACCCTTTAAGCACAAATAGAAACCCTATGAGGGTAATTTGGGCTCTTAGCTTGAAATATGGCAATGACTGGTCCTTTAATTCAGTTCTTTAAAACAATTACCAAATGAAAATAAAATGCAAATGAACATTTGACCTGGACTTTTGCCATGAATTTAGAAATTCAGGTTAACTTCAAAAGTGTAATTGTCTTTCTGCTTCCCTCCTCTGACCCTGTATCCCACCTGATGGGGTAGTCTGCGGCGCTGAGGTTGATGAAGAAGTCCCAGGACCAGTCGGACATTTTGAGAAGGTCCTCCATGCTGCGCAGGTACATAGTCAGCAGGCTGGCCCCGCCCCAGATGGTGGACATCCGCCAGGGAGTCACCCGGACGTTAGGATACTGTCCGGCCAGAGACAGGACCTCTTTGTAGAGATAGTTGGACCTCTGGGAAGGTGGAAATTACAACAAGGAAGGTTATAGGCTCTACTCCTCTCCAAAACTAACAGAGCTTGTGATTAAACACTGAACTAAGCAGGTTTAAATTACAAATCAGTGTTTCCCTGAAGGACATAGGGCAGATTGGCTGTGAGCTAACATTAGCTCAGCTTGTTTCTCTGAAAAGTTAACATATAGTGTGGCTGTATCAGACGGAAGACATTTTCTGACCTGGAGGGGGTGAGGCTTATATTATTAGAAATATATCAAATGATGAGTTTTTCTCGCTGATAAAGCGTTCATCTCGGTGCATTTCATTCGGGTGTGTCAAAATGCTAGCAGCTCAAAAAGCTCTTGTTTTCTTTTTTTTTTAAATCCTGCGTAAAAAAAAGTATTTGAATGATTTAAAAGGGTGCAGGAATGAGTCCAGAAATGTGTTAGCATTTTAGTTCCCTAGAAGTATTGTCGTCTATTGGATTTATTAGTTAGAAGCCTGAAATAAGGTCTGTGATTAGCACAAGCTTAAGAGATTTTAATGATTTGTTCTACAACATGAAATACATCAGAACCCACTTGATCATTGTGTTTGTTATTTTGTCTTAAAAACTGCACCACGCCAGACATTAGCCAACTAGCTTAGCAGTGGTGACCAGTAAGTCATGTGAGTGTGATGTAGTCCCTATTGCCTTACGTTAGCTTTTTAATTCTGGAAATTGTATTTACACCTGATAAATGTTAAAGGCACTGTTAATGTGGAGATTTCTGTGCATGTCTTTTCCGGGTCGGCCTTTGAAAATACGTCATCCCTGCCCCGCTCTGTGACAGTGGGCGTTCTCACCTGGTCCACATGGATGTAGTAGTAGTGCGAGGTGTGGTAGATGGCTTTGAAGAGTCGCTGGAACTGACGTGAGGACCGGCCGTGGACCACCAGGACGAAGGCCATCCGGGCCGGGACCAGCTGGGCGGACCCCGAGGGGTCCTCGTCCCACTGTACGTTCACATTGGCCTTACCTGGACAGAGGGGAGCAGCTCAATACACAGGCAGCATCTTTTACACAGCAGTTGACATTAAATGTTGCATTCATGTCCTGTTGCCAAAACAGTTCATATCAGCATCCGGGTAATGAACATATTTTCCAACGGGGTCTGCTGTCTAGGGAATTAATAAAAAAAATCTAATTTGTTTTAATTCTGTTGTTTCCAGCTCTTCTTGGGATTGGCTGTTTTTTGTTTCTATACAATAGGAAATAAATAATGCACAGATTTTTTTGACATACCAAAAAAACAACTTGATTGATTTGAAAACATGATTGTATACCGGTTTTATTTAAATACACTGAACAAAAATATAAACGCAACACTTTTGTTTTTGCTCCCATTTTTCATGAGATGAACTCAAAGATCTAAAACATTTTCTATATACACAAAATAACCCGAGTGGCCCATGGTGGTGGTGGGGTTATGGTATGGGCAGGCGTATGTTATGGACGACGAACACAGGCCACTCGATTCACAACATTACCTTAAACCTAACCCTAACCCTACCCCTCACACCAGATACTGACTGGTTTTCGGACCCCCCCAGACCCCCCCCAATAAAGCAAAACTGCACGTTTCAGAGTGGCCTTTTATTGTGGCCAGCCTAAGGCACACCTGTGCAATAATCATGCTGTCTAATCAGCATCTTGATATGCCACACCTGTGAGGTGAGATGGATTATCTCGGAAAAGGAGAAGTGCTCACTATCACAGATCTTTTCAGATTTGTGAACAATATTTGAGAGAAATGGTTATTTTGTGTTTATAGAAAATGTTTTAGATCTTTGAGTTCATCTCATGAAAAATGGGAGCAAAAACAAAAGTGTTGCCTTTATATTTTTGTTCAGTGTATATATTTTTGTATTTCAATTTTATAGTTATTATTTGACTATTATTATTTATAATTTTATTTATTCTCATTTTTGTCATCTTTAACTATTTATTAATATTTTTTGTATCTATTGTGAAGCACATTGAGTCAGCGCCTGACGTATGAAATTTGCTACATAAATACAATTTTAACACATTTGTCAAATAATGAGGTTTATCCAACATTGTTAATCCCATACTGTGGTACAACTGTAGTTTGGGATATATTTATCGAAACAAAAAACACCAAATCAGCCATTTTCTACAAACATATTTAGTAAAAAATCTAAAAAGAGAACATCAAGACAGACTAATTGCTGCATTGTTTAAGTGCAGGTTGCAAGGAAACGTCACGCCGCTCATGTTCTTAATCTTTTATTCTTTTGTGGAAATGCTGTTCAGTCTGTGGCTGTCTGAGCTAAATCTGCCTCCTGTGTATACAAAGCCATGACAGCCTCATGCTTCTCCATCATCACGCTCACCCTAAAGATGGCACGGGTTGAGGCCTGCTCTGCCTAATTAGTGACCTTACCCGCGCTGTGAGGCATGCTGGGAGTTTCAGGATGAATAACTGTAATCTGGTGTAGACAGGGGGAGCGATGCACGCAGTGCTGGAATGTAACTAAATACATTTATTCGAGTACTGGACTTTTTTGTCATACGTGTACTTTACTTCTATTGCTACCTTATACTACTCCTTTTGTGCAATATTTACAATGCTTAGGCGGTAAAACGTGCAAATATTCAACTGTGCAATGCTCGCAACGTTTTGTACACTGTTTTTAAAGCATTATCTGGTTTGTACACACATTTTACTTTAACTAAATGGTTTTATTTTATTACAAAAATGAAAGTGTTCCGATTATACCTTGAAATAAATTTTTTGGGAGAAATTATTTTCCTTTAATACAGTCATTTTAAATGTTTTAAACATTAAATCACATAATATTCTTATAGGATATGAGGTAGTGTACTCCCAATAGGGCTGGGTGATATGGAGTATATCAAATGCCATAATATGTTTGACCAAATACATCTATTTGGTGGACAAAAACAGAATAATATCCTATAACACTATAACAATTTAAAAGAGCCCTTGTGTATAATGAGTACTTCTTCTTTTGATACTTAAAGCCCATTTTACTGATAATACTGCACTTCTATAGCTGTTCAAAATATAAATATGTTATTGATATAGAGATAGAGATATTTGGATGGTTTTAAAGCCCTATATCTACTCGTAGAGTGATCTTTCCGAATTCACCACATTACTGATGATTATTTAACAAAATTGTCATTTTGTAAATATGTTGTGTAATCATCAATGAATAAGACTGCAATGTCGTCAAACATATATAGGATTTTTTTTCATATTGCTAAGCCCTAATTTTAATACTAGTTTTCTACTCTTACTTAAGTAAAGGATCGGAGTAGTTCTCCCACCACTGGATGCACACAGAAACACCAAAGCCGCACCAGTCTGTGGATATAATGACTAGCCTATCATCAAAGAAACCTATAATCACATCAATTTAACCCCAAACGGCGCAGAGTGGTTCAGAGAGCACGACTACAAGTAAATCATTAGTCAGCGAATCCAAAAATAAGACGGCAAAGTGCTTGCTTAATTGGGGTGTAATTACTCAGGCTGAGTCTCATCCTCTGTGTCCGTCCGCGCTTCAGCTCCCTGAAAATAGAACTAGCAGCGGACTGGAAGCGTCTTCATGGCACGTGCCGGGTTAAAAATGCTTCTCAAAGGGTACATTTAGAAAATATAAATCTCTCTTCGCCACTTCAAAGCAGCCGCCTGTTCATCTGATTCCTTGTCCTTACGTCTTTCAGTCTGTCATTTGTTAACTGGCTCAATCAGCCGCTGTCATAACTAAAGGGATACATCTGTCCTTAAATCATAGGTTAATACATTTAAGCCAACTATGTCATATTTTGGATTACACCCATATTGTAAATATAGTCTCATGAAATGTGCTACATCAGTCCTTTTTCAGATTCAGTCCACCAGAATAATAAATGGCCACCATTTATTTTAAGCCTTACTACACTTTTTCTAACCTAATGGACATCTTCTGTTTTTTAAGATCCTCCAAAGAAAAGATTAGAACAGTGGTCCTCAACCAGGGGGCAAGACCTCAAAGGGGGTTTCGAGGGAAAAAATGTAATACATATTTGAAACTGGGGGTGGGTCATACATTAAAATCATCTATACCAGTCATATCATTTGCCTTAGATTATATTTTGTTGAGTGTATTTGAGATACATCTTCACAAGCCTTAAGCCCTATTCATGTAACCATTCACAGCACAAATGTCCTTTTAGACACCAACATGCATTAAACCACCTGCAAGCATATACATATGTTTGTTAACGTATTTATTGTTGTATATAGTTGTACAATTGTAACTCTTATTTCTGGTGTTCAAATATATATTTTTATTATTTTCATTTCCATTTTGTCTTATTTTATTTTAAAATGGAGCAACTGTTCCGAAACACAATTTCCGGTTAAATAAAGTATTCTGAATTTCATTGCCAACAACTGAGCAGTAGCTATTATCCATATGGAAATAAACTCTTTAAACCTTTGAAATAAAAGGTTTCATCTGCTGATATTTCATCTCTAGTATAAATGAGTGCAGATCTCACCTTCTATGGGGCAGTAGCGAGGCACTGTCTCCGGCATCAGGGCTTTGTTTTTGTGTTTGCAGTAGATCTCCACTATCTGCTGCCGACACTCGCGGCTCTTGGCCCGGGACAGAGCAGAAATGGCTTCCTTCCCGCTGATCTCGCACTGCGGCTGCTCCTTCTTCACCACCACGCCGGGCGGTGGCAGCGTAGAGGACGTCTTTGCCGTGTGAAACTGATCGGACCCCTGCACCGCTATTGGGACCGTTGGAACCTGGGGGTGGGGTTTACGGACGTGGGTGCCATTGTTATGGGGCCCCACCCCTCTGGGTTGCACCGGAGGGAACTTGTGGACCTCGTTTGCAGGTTTTCCCAGCATGCTCTGTGCTTGGGCCTTGTCCAGCTTGCGCTTGGAGTTAGCGAGTGGAAATCGCTGCCGTCGGGCTCCCAGGTTGCTGTTGCTGTTGCTGTCGATGGTGTCAAAGTCTTTAGGGACTGAGTTCTCATTGTTGTTGCTGTCCAGGCGGAGTTTCTCTTTGGGACGGTGGGAATGGTAGGCATCCTGTGAAGGAAAAAACTAGATTAATATATTGTAGAAGTTGTGAGAAAGAAAAACAATCAACAACTATCTTTGATGTGGGGTGAGTCATTCATTAAAGCGGTCCTATTGTACTTTTTGGTGTTTTACCTTCCCTGCTTTGTGTTATAGGTTTTTCTGCATGTAAATGGTCTGCAAAGGATAAAATCCCAAAGTTCCCTCCATAGGGAGTTTCTCTCCCACACTCAACCCCCCCCCCCCCCGCCCCCCCTGCCTGAATCACCGCAATTGGACTCCTTTGTTTACCTCCGTGACATAATGACCTCATGTCACTTGCGCTCCTATTGGCTAGTGCTCCAACACATTATACGTGATAGAGAAGTCCCACAAATAAGCCTAAGAGGTCGACCAATCACAACAGAGCCGGCTAGCTAACCAATCAGAGCAGGCTGGGCTCTGGTTTCAGACAGAGGGTGAAAAGAGGTGCTGCAGCACAGGCAGTATGCGAAAAATAAAGAGCTTTGTCAACATTAATGCATATAAACATTTCACAGTAGAGACACACAATACAAATATGAACCTGAAAATGAGCATAAGAGGGCCCCTTTAAGACAGCTCAAATCTCAAAACCAATAAATACAACTACTCTCAACCCTGTATTTTAACACACTGACACTGTCCAACTGTTATTGTATAAGTGCAAAAGTGAAACATCAAAGAAAAGGCACTTAAGTTGATTACTACCACAGACAATGGTGAATTATGTCCTTAGAGTCCGCTACAACACAATCATAACAATGACATCCTGTAATCCTGTAAGAACTGCCTAACATCCGCACACAGAGAAAACAAACATGGCTGATGTTTACTGGTCCACACATCTTTCTTTTCAACAAAATAATCCAGTCGTATGTTATTATATAGCAATTAAAAAAGGTACCATGCTGTGAGTAATTGATAAACAAATGTTCATTTAATTGATTGCCATGAACATTTTAAAAGAATCTATTTTTCAAATCACGATAAGTTCAGGACATTTTAAACATTTTTTGTAATGCCAGCAACAGTCTACCAGTTTAGTCCAGACTGAAATAGGTCAACAATTATTTGATAGATTGCCATGACATGGTTAATTAGAAAACAGTACACAATAACAAACATGTCAGAATTAAAAAGTTTCCGTAGTTTCTTTTCTTACAAAAACAAATCGTACATTTTAAAATATTGATGAATGTTAATTACTTAGAAAACTGTGTAGGTTTGGTTCTCATTTTATATCCATAATTGTGCAGATTACCAATCTACAGTATATTCACTTTGGTCCCTGGCTTTTTTATTCAGTCAGGCATCACTTTAACTTTTACTCTTTCTAGGAAAAAGAAACAGAGTCACAGAGACACGAGAGGGGGAAGAAGGAAGAAAGGAATGATTTCCTGAGCCCAGTGACCTTTAACCCCTGAGACACGGCAGCTGTGGCCTTGACCTCCCAGAGTCAGAGGGTGATATATACTGTATATGGAGCTGCGTGTGTGTATGTGTGTTACACTTGCATAGCCACATGGCCTTGATGGGTGTTTTAATCCCATAGATCGTTCTTTATCTGTCTTTTCCAGGGATAAAGAGAGTGTCACACACACACACACACACACACACACACACACACACACACACACACACACACACACACACACACACACACACACACACACACACACACACACACACACACACACACACACACACACACACACACACACACCATGTATACATCACTTCAGGGGACATTACATTGATTTACATGCATTTCCTGGAGACTTATCCTAACCTTAACCATAACCAACACATACCCTTACCCTAACCCTAACCAAGTCTTCACCCTAAAATTAATGATTCCCCTCATGGGGAATTCCAATTTGTCCCCATAAGGGAAGCCAGTCCCCACACGTGACTGTGTAAACAGATGTAGGTCCCCACAAGTATAGTAATGCTAGGCCACACACACACACACACACACACACACACACACACACACACACACACACACACACACACACACACACACACACACACACACACACACACACACACACACACACACACACACACACACACACACACACACACACACACACACACACACACACACACACACACACACACACACACACACACACACACACACACTCACACACACACACACACACAATCTGAGTACTTGTGGGAAGACTTTAATATCAGGTCTCTTGCCACCTGCTCCACACAAAACCTTTCATTATCTCATCTGTAATATCCGTTTAAAGGAATGAGAGTGTGTGTTTGTTTTTGTAGTTGCAGTGAATTATTTACAGCTCTCCTGTGATCAGTGAGTGTAAAAGTACAGCGGTAACCAGGTACTTTTCCCAGGAATAGTTCCGATAGTTCCTGGGATTTTGCGTTCACACCAAAATGATCTGAAACTAGAACTTTTTTTGCAAACCTTTTCACCCCTTGTTAGTGTCTGCTAGAGAGCTAGAGAGCAGGGACTTTTCTGGGGAGAAAAAGGTTCCAATTTCTGATTGGCTGGGCGAATTGCAAACCACGCCCCGTAAAACTCTGAAAAGTTTTTGTGAAGCCGCCATTTTATTTGCTCGTATTAGCATTAGCCCAGCGCACCAACGGAGAGAGACTAATTTATGGCAACACAAAAGAATAATGGCCCATGAGGACAAAATGGCCCAACTTTTGAGAGAGCGAAACGTCAGATTACCCATCATGCCTAGCTGTCGGAGCAGAATAACCCGTATGTGCGCTCACAGAGCATGTGCCCCCCTTAAACCCCGCCCACCGAGCTCCCACTCTCAACTCAGTAGAATGAATGGAGACAGAAAATAAATCTAGATTCGGCTTTTAGTGCATTTTCCAACTTTAAGGACCGAATGATTCTAATAAGGGCTATAAAATAGTTCATACTGGGTAGTTTATTTAGTTTTTTAAAAGGTATCCGCTGATTTACAAACGTCTCTTTCCCAATGTTAGTCAATGGGGAAAAGTATTTCTGGGCCCAGTGACGCCACGGACTGATATGGAAATTGTAGTACCGCCGTTTGGACACAATGAATATTTTCATCAGAGTCCGGCGCACTTCCTGTGGGCTTGCGTAAAACTCTGAAAAGTTTTGTGAAGCCGCCATTGTATTTGCTGGCATTAGCATTATTAGCATTATTAGCATTAGCCCAGCGCACCAACGGAGAGAGACTAACTTATGGCAACACAAAAGAAAACATGGGAGCGGTGGAGTGATGAGGAGGTGTCGGCGCTCCTGGCGATTTACTCGGAAGGCTTCAGTAGAAGCTGCTGGGAGTCGCCAGTCCCAACTACGGGGACTTCGGGTGGCAGTATACGCCATGAAGTTGTTTGCGGCCTGCCAGAAAAACCCAAAGCAGAAAAAGAAGAAGAAGTGACGTCAGCGGCTCCCTCAGGGACTTATTCCGGTGTGAACGCGATCTACTAGATAGTTCCGGAACTAAAGATTTCCGGGGAAACTAAGTTCCGGGAACTATTCCTGGGAAAAGTACTTGGTGTGAAAGCGCCTAATAAGACATTTTGATAAAAGTTTCTCCATTTGTTTTCACATTTTTTGTCGAAAATGTTATATACAGTACATATGCTGAAGTGCATCGGATTCATTGCTTAGCTTTTTACCGGGTTATTAAATTGGGTATGTAGAATCATGGATTTCAAAGAGATTGGTATTGACTACGAAAATGTAAGTTTGTGGTATTGCGACATCCCGACTCCTAACTGTGAAAATGTCTCTTGAATTTGCCATCAAAATAACTGTTTTTCTCTCTCCTGCGTTTTTCCCAAGAAATCTGGGCATTCCATGGAGACGGACCACAGCTAAAATACTACTGCCTAGTGCCTACCTACAAAGACATCATTCTTTATACACACACCGACACACTGTAAGTCAGTTTGCAGCTTCCTATTGAAGTAGTCTCAGACCTCCTGCTGCTGGATGATAAAGGCGACAGAAAACAGACAAAAGAGCCCGCAGCGAGAGGCATTAAAGAGGGGAGGAAAGGGAAAGACAGAGGGGAAGGGTGCAAGAAAGGAGACCTGTTGATCTGACAACTGTTGATTAGAGGTTGAGGCCAAACGGGAAAATGCATTTTAACGTCAAAATGGTTATGAGAGTGGTTTGAGGATGGTGATATTGATAAGATCATCCATGTTTATCACCCTCCTTAAATGGGGAATTCTTTTAGATGTACAGCTGATTTCAATCCAGAACCGGTATGTAATTTATTTACCTATCTAAAGACCTGCACCTTCAATGGGCCAATCACCAGAAACAATAATTTATAATATAATTGGTAGATCAATCCATAATGTAAATAAGCGTCAGTTGCAACCATAATATTTAGTATAAAAAGGTTTAGTGTGTGTGTGAGAGAGAGAACACCTTCGAATGAAGCAATAAAGAGCTCTTTCACCAGGCTGTATGGAGTCCCAGTCACACATTAATCAAACACTTGTGCATGTATTTGAGTGTGAGTGTGTGTGTGTGTGTGTGTGTGTGTGTGTGTGTGTGTGTGTGTGTGTGTGTGTGTGTGTGTGTGTTTGTTTGTAGTCAGTATACCTGTGGGAACATACAGCCTGGAATTTATTGCAATGAAAACCTTACAGTATATGCTCAACTGAGGTAGAAATACTCCTGTATTGAGGATAACAATTTGCGACAACGTGCAGTACAATTTAAAACTATTTATTTATTGTTGTATTATCTTTCCAAGCATATACAGTATTTTATAAAGTACATTTACTTGTTGTATGTGAGTATTGTCTTTGTTTGTAATGTATGACTTTGGCTGTGAATTGTTTTAAAGGGGCCCTATTCTGCTCATTTTTAGGTTGAATTTTATTTTGTGCCTCTTCTGTGACATGTCTCCATGCTTTAATGTTCAAAAAAGGTCTTTATTGTTCACATACTGCCTGTGCTGAAGCACCTCTTTTCACCCTCTGTCTGAAACCAGAGCCCAGTC